CCCCCCCCCGGTTTTTTTTTTTTTTGTGTGTGTGTGTGTGTGTGTGTGTGACACACTGAACTTTAAATACGAATAGGTAATATTTCATATGTTTTACATTACTTTCAGAGTCTGTATAATTTTCCTGAAATAAATAGTGAAATAGCCTGTGAAGTATACTGAGTGCATGGTCCCAGAGCAAACGTTAAAAGGTTACAAGCCTAGAACACATGATAATGATGATTAGTCACAGGTGTAAAGATCAGGACTAAATAACTCGGATAAAGCTAGTTTCAGGGTTCTAATCTCTTTCTTGGTCTCTTAAGAATGGTGCTGACCTTTGTGTGTATATTTCATTGTTACCTTGATAACGTAATATACCATGGGAGTAAAGGTAGATTATTGTAAGAATTTAAACATTCACAATGTCCTAAGTGCTTTCAGTGAGATGAACTCAGTTTCAGAGCACATTACATGTTAAATCCATGAAGCCGTCATATATTTTTATATAGTTTGTATGAGCCACAGCCATATCAACCAAAGTATTTATAGAAATGTTTTAGGAAGTGAGACTCTAAACATTGCTGATATATATTATGCATAATCTAGATAGGCTCTCTTTTTTTTCTTTTTCTTTTGTTTTCCTTTCTTTTTCCTTGCACAATTATTCATGGACTGCCCACCATGTTTTAAGCCCTAGGATCACAGCGGCAAACAAAATACACCAAATCCTTGCTGTTATGGATCTTATGTTCTATTGGGATGGGGAGGGAGAGAGATAATAAGCAAATGAAGCGTAGATAGATTAACGGGGTGGGGGGAGAGATAGAGAGAGATGAGAGAGAGAGAGAGAGAGAGAGAGAGAGAGAGAGAGAGAGAGAAAGAGAGAGAGATCATATCAGGTATTGTATCAATGCAGGAAAAAAATGCATGAAAAGAAATAGGGAATTACCAAGAGTAAGGATTTCAGTGTTTTAGATAGGGTAGTCAACAAAGGTCTCTCTCATAATCTAATATTTGAAGAAAGACTTGAATAAATGTAGTAATCTAGCTTAGAATAAATGTAGGAATCTAGCGTAGAGGACCTATGACAGCAGAGAGTAAACTCTGAGGCAGGACTGAGGGAGCCTGACATGTTTGAGAACCAGGAAGGGGGTTGGTATTGCTGGCTAAGAGTAAGCGAAGAAAGAGTAGATAAGAGAAAAGGCATGAGATACAGCAGGGACAAAATCATAAATGGCTTCTGGTTATTGGAAGGATTTTATATTTTGTTGTGAGTGCGTCGGAAAGATATTGGAGGGTGTGGAGAAGTAAGTGATGTATCGAGACTCATTTTGGCTATCGTGTGGACAGAGAGATGGAGGTTGGTACGGTAGAAACAAGAAGACTAGTTAGGACTCTTGTTTTAATGATCCAGGAGGTAATGGTGGCCTGGGAGAGGGTGTTAGTGGAGGATGTGGTGAGAAATGGTGGTGAATAGGTATAAGCTGATAGACAGACTGTGGAGTAAGAGAAAAAGAGAGGACTTAAGGGCGACCCCAGAGCTTTTGGCCTGCGTACCTAGTAGGATGATGTTGCCATTTAGTCAGATGGGGAAAAACAGGAAAGGATTTGTTCTTTTGTTTTATACAGTTGTCATCTTTCCCTTCCCACTCAGTCTTTGCTGGAAACTGGAATAGACCCATTAGGAGCTTGATGTAAATTATTTTATGCTTGAAAGGAAGAATAACAACAGTGACCGCAGTAAATAATATTTGATAGTACTTAACAACTTGAAAATCATTTTAATATTCAATAATGCATTTGCAACATATCATTACAGGTGAGGATTTCTGCACCTACTTCTAAACTTCCAAACAAAAAGGAATTAATTTTTCTGCAGATAGAAGGTGATCTGTAATATAATATAGAATGCATAAAGAACAATTCATTTGTACTTAAAAAAGTAGACTAAGGAAAGATTGGGGGATATATCAAGTAAGAATTAAGAGAAAGTAAAAATGGATGAATGGTGTTTACTATGTGAATTGATAAATATGCTATACTTTGTCTCTCAGATCCAAGGTTCATAAGTGCCCACCTCATCCCAGAGAGTGACAATCCTGAAGACGACAAAGTATATTTTTTCTTCCGTGAAAATGCGATAGATGGAGAACACTCCGGAAAAGCCACTCACGCTAGAATAGGTCAGATATGCAAGGTGAGGTAAAGGAAAAAAATAAAAAAATAAAAAATAAAAAACAACTGAGATGTCATTGTCCAGTCACAGTTTCATTTCTTTTTATTTTTCACCTATGTACAAGTACAAATAAAGCTATAGCTAAAAACTTGACCAATCACAACAAATTTTTAAATGGTGAAAAGTGATTGAAAATATATTATAGCTGATTAACTCTTCATAGTCAAACATTCAGGTAGATGTTGTGAGGAAACTGGCATTTTTCATAATTACATTAAGTAATCTTGGTTGAAATTCTAGAGAAATCAAATATTTTAATGTTGCCTGGGAGAATACTTTCTTGTGTTTTCATACCTAGCACAATTTCCTACAACTTGTAAGTTTTGAATGAATATTTGTTGTTGGAATAAGGGAAGTATTAATTTGATGGAGAAAAACATTAAAGCTCATTTTCACAAATTGGTTATAACATCCTATGTACACATCCATGTACACACACACAAACACACACACATAATTTCGAAGCTCTAAGCTTTGTCTGTCCGAGGTATTTCATTTATTGTGTGGTATAACGTCAGACAAAATATTGCATTATAGTGTTAGATATATAGAACAAAAATTGCTCGATAAATACTTATGGATTAATTAGTATCATCAATGTGAAGACATGGTAACAGTACTATTTTTTCTCTTCCACAGTGCATAGTACATAATAAATGCGATGTGAATATAGTCAACTGTTAGTATATCTCAAAGCATCTTTCAGCTAAAGAAATCATGTCAGATGAGATAATTGGCTTAAAATTGAATTCTTTCTTTTTAAGAAAGAATCAAAAAGTTTTAAAAATCCATTTTTTCTGATCTCTTTCCTATCCCAATCATGATTTTATTACTTCTCTTTAGTATATTCAATTACTGGAAAGTTTAAAGTTTTAATTATCTGGAAACATACAAATGATATGTGAAGTAGATGTGACTCTTTTCTCCACAAAATACAGATCATATTTAAAAGTACTACTTACGAGAGTTATAAAAAAATCTTTGTAATGCATTAAACCATTCAAACAAAACATAAATCAGTGTTTTATTTTTGAAGGGACATCTATGTTCCTTTAACATAGGCCCATAAATATTACTTTAAAAGGATATAGTTGCAAATAAATACATACCATCATAGAATTTATTGCTATGCTTAGGTTAAAACTCAGTTTTATTTGCAATGAAGAGACATTTTCAAAATGTTTTTTTTCTAGAATGAGTTTCCTTTATTAAGGTTTATACAAATATTTTTTCAACATGTGATTTATAAAATATAAATTGCTTCAACTCTTTAAGCTTATAAAATATTTGATGCTAGCATGCTTTTGTTTGAGATGTATTTTTAGTATAGGTTATTAGGCATGCATTTATCATTCATTCAGTGAATACTGATTGAGTCCCAATGGTATACGAAGCCCTGGCTGTGAACCAGCCTATGTAGATGAGGACGATCTAAAGAAATACACAGCAGGTAAGAGAGAGAGACGTGCGAAAACAAAACAAACACAAGAATAATAACTGGTCATTGCAGAATGGTAACAGATGGAAAAGATGAAGTGACTTTAAAAAGTTTTATTTATTTTAATTGACAAATAAAATTATATTATACACAATACGATGTTTTGAAATATGTATACATTGTAGAATGGCTAAATTGAGCTAATTAACTTATGCTTCACCTTGCATACTTACTATTCTTTATGGTGACAACACTTAAAATCTACTCTCAGAGATTCTCAAGAACACAATACATTGTTTTTAACTATACTCAAGATGCTGTGACACAGATCTCTTCAACTTATTCCTTCCGTAAAATGAAGTTCTGCATCCTTTGACCAACACCTTCCCAACCCCCCACCTTTCGACCCCAGCCCCTCTTAATCACCATTCTCCTCTCTAATTCTATGAATTCAATGTTTATAGACTCCACAAATGAGTGAGATCATGCAGTATTTATCTTTCTGTGCCTGGTTTATCTCACATCATAATTTCCTCCAGGTTCATCCATGTTGTCCCAAATGACAGGATTTCTTTTTTAAAAATAAATATATATATTTAATTATAAATAGACAAATTATAGTTATATACGTGTATGAGGTACCAAGTGATATTATGATTTATGAATACAATGAAAATAATAAGTCAATCTAATTAACATATTCACCACCTTGAGAACTTGCATTTTGTGGTGAGAATATTGGACATTTACTCTGTTAGAGATTTTGAAATGTACAGTACATTATCATTTACTGTAATCACCATGCTGTGAAATATATCCCAAAGAAAAATCCCTTCTTTCTCCTAATTATTATTTTTTTATCTTTTAAGGCTGAATAATATTTCATTGTGTATATATACAACATTTTCCTTATCTATTCATCCATTGATGGACATAAAATGACTTTTTAATGCTAAGAGACTTTTATTGTGAATAGTTCCTTGAGTAAAGTCTGAGTGAATGATTTGACCAACTGTATATTAATGAGCAATAGTTACTGATTTGGTCATTTAAAATTATTATGGGACTTTTGAAAACTGAGCAATTGTATTTTGTATCTGTCTCAAGATGAAAAGAGAAATACTTGAAATAATCATTTTCATTTCATCATCACAAGGCTGATGTTCTCTCCTTTCAGAATGACTTTGGAGGGCACAGAAGTCTGGTGAACAAATGGACAACGTTCCTCAAAGCTCGTCTGATCTGTTCAGTGCCAGGTCCAAGTGGCATTGACACTCATTTTGATGAATTGCGTAAGTAGCTAGTGTTTCTATACAGGGAACATTTGTTCAGATACTGCTATAACCACAAAAAATGTAACTGTCCCCAATTTTCTTTTCAAATAGAGGATGTATTCCTAATGAATTCTAAAGATCCTAAAAATCCAATTGTATATGGAGTGTTTACAACTTCCAGGTAAATAACTTTTTACTATCTTATTATCATAGAAATTTTATGTCCTTTAGGTGATTTCCAAGTAACCATAATTTGTGAAAATATAATCTTTGAGTTCTTGTGCATTCTTGGATGGTTGAAATAAGTTATGGCCTAAATAGTTGTTTGTTTGTTTTAAAAATAAATTTTAGAAAGAATGTTATCACTGTAAATAGAATAGTGAAACAGTTTGAAAAATTTGTCATAGCCTATATATAGCTTTGACTTTACACATTTGAATGAAATGTACAATATAATACAAACGGACATATGAGTTTTGACAAGAGTTTATAGGGATATATAAATTAAGGGTGAAAAACAATTTAGACTGTTTTGTATATTTAACTAAAACGATTTTCTTTCTGTCTTTACCTCTCCATCTCTATCATCAATTGCTAAATGAATGAGATGAAGGAAAAGCCCAAATATTGTTAGGTACCAGCAATTCCATTGACAGTCACCTCTCTGAGCAGATGGTTGACTTATGAATCTGAGGAGAAAAAACATTTCAAGCAGCTATGGTCCTTCCCATTACTATCTACTCCACATACAGAACATTTGCTACATTTTCCTTTACAAAGCTCTGGAACTAAAGTAGGAATTTACAGGTTTAGGGAAAGTTAATTGTTCACAAATTAAATTAGTTTTATGTACTTTTAAATATCATCAATACAATTCAAGACGTTTCAGTTATATAATTTTAAAGTTTTTGAAGTCAGTAGATTCTCTTTTATTTAATCTAATTACCTTTTTTTTTTTGGTGGGGGTATTCCACTTAGTTTTTTATTGGGCACCTTGTAATCCAGACTTTTAAAATAACCATATAAAAAGATACAATAAAAACAAACAAAACAGCAACAACAAAAATCCTAAGGATTAAATCAACACTGGCTTTAATCCTATGTTCTTTTTACACACAATGTCAAACTCGGACTGCATTTCCTCCTCTCCCTTTATCCCTCACTGTCTCTCTTTCCCTCATTTCTTTTCCTCTCTCTCTCTTATTTCCCTTCTCACTCTACCCTCCCACTGTCTCTCTCCTTCTCTTCTCTTTTCCCCTTTCCTCACTCTCCTCCATTCCCCATTCCTCACTCTCCCCATGGCTGTTGCTGTCAATTAAGCAGCAATTGTACCAACTACTACATTCCGTATCATGTCCACATTACCTGGGGTTGTTGAAAGTAATACATACATATTTATATGCACATAATTGAGAATATGCATTGGAATATGGATAAAATGTTTAACAAAAAAGTAATTTAAAATCAAAAGTTAGGAAAATGTACTTCAAGTGACCGTGATAGCATGAAGAGAAATTAACTGCAATGTCCAATACTTGTTTATACTGTAAATATTAAAGCTGTTTCTAATAGTCTGGACATTTCTACTTAATCTTAAAAATAACATATAAAAATTAAGAAACTCTTATTACTAAAACTATATGCAATTAGCCATACCTAAATATTTATCCCCTTTTGTATAAAAACAGAATGCAAGTAAAGAATGTGGAAGGCCCAAATTAACCAAATATTAATCCATTTCTCCTGTTTCCTCACTGCTTAGTACAGTGGTTCTCAGACGTGAGTGTCCATCAAAATCACCTAGAGAGCGTGATAAAATTCAGATTGCTGGGCCCCATCCCCAGAATTTCTGATTCAGTAGGAAAGGGGTGGCACCTAAGAATATGCATTTCTAACAAGTTCCCAGGTGATGACCACGTTGTTGGTCTAGAGACCACACTTTGAAGGTCACTGGTTTAGGGGTAAGATAATCTCACCTCTCTACTTCAATGAGATGTATATTCGTAAGTAAGTGATGGCTATAAATCATTCATCAAGTCTTTTAATGGAGACTGATTTCATCTAAGATAAGAAAAATATATAACAATGGAAAAGGGATACATAACATAAACATTAAAAACTGTTATCTATCAAACATGTGTTGATTTGCTATTTATTCTATTTGGAAAATATTATTAAATTCTATAAATATTTATTAAGGTTGACTGTGTGTCAAGCGTCATGTCATATGTCACTGATGTAGCAGAAAAAACGCCGGGCATGGTCCAATCCCTCACGAAGCTTGCAATCTACCAGGAATTGTCTGTATTCAGCAGTTTACAATAATAAAATCTAAGGAACATATGCTTTGGGAACATATGCTCTCCCATAATCTCTCAATCAAAAAGATAAGCATTCCATATTTTAAATGTGCACAACTGTTTAATATCTTTGTATAAATACACTTATTAAGCAGTACTTATCTAACTGAAATAAAATGGAAAATTGTGGCAGATCAGTGACAAACTTCCAGTTTTGTTTAGCAATAAGATAAAAATAATTGCTATATTTCTCCACTTTGACTGGGGTGTAATAGCTACTAAGTTAAAACTGTTTTCTGTGTTGGTAAGAGATGATTTAAAATGCCTTCACAAAAATCAAACTGTTACTTGATGTAATACTTTTGGTGGTTTGAGAATTAAAGACAATATAGTATGACACATCATTCAACATTGACTTTCATTTTCTGCAACAGTTTTGGCTTATAAAATGAGTTGTTAAACATTTTTGTTTATTTAAACATTTCTCGCTTTTAGTAATGATGCTTGAGACTTAACCACAGTTTACATTTTTATTTCCAGATGATATCAAAATTAAATATTCATTTATAGAAGAACATATATATGTGTTTGCTTATCAAAGTTTAATAGTCTATGTTTGATATGAACGGTGTGCTATGATTGTTAAAGACACTTTTATCCATGCCTTGTATTTTTGATAAATCATAATTTGTTCTCTTGCGTATTAAGATACAAAACATATGACTAAAAAAAATCCAAACACTCTTTAAGATTACCAAAAATTTATATTTCAGTTTTGATAGCTCATTTCCGAAATGTAAGAACTGAATATCAACTGTTCTCTTGCCATTGTACAAGGATGAAAAATGGTTTTTATTCTTGCTCTCTTTTTTAGTAACATCTTCAAGGGATCAGCTGTGTGTATGTACAGCATGAGTGATGTGAGAAGGGTGTTCCTCGGTCCGTATGCTCACAGGGATGGTCCCAACTATCAGTGGGTGCCCTTTCAAGGAAGAGTCCCCTATCCACGGCCAGGAACTGTAAGTGGCCTAGGTATTTAAAATAAAGAATGAATACATTTCTGATAAAAGTAAAAAGATAATGCAGCTACAAACAGATTAAATCCAGATAATGTAAAACAAAGATTCCAAGAGTATAAATGAAAGCAAGACAAGGTTTTTCTGTGATTCCAAGGAATTTCACATTTAATGAATTTTTTTTACAAATGTTAGTGTTTAAGGTTAGTGTTTATCATGTATTCATACCAATAACTTTTGAGAAATAGAAACCGAATGGGTGGCCTTATCTATTTTTGTTTTGTTTTGAAGGGATATAGTGCAAATGGCCTTCATGCAGGTTTGAGCACATAGGATACATTTGTGCTTATTCTTTCTGATTGTAGTGAAGGCTCAAGAATTGCACATTACATTGGAAAAAAAATAAAAATGGTCATTATCATCCTATGGAAATTGAACAAACCCCTTAAAGTAGGTGAAGAAGATGGAGAAAAAATATATAACGGAAGGGAGCAGTGCCTAGACGTTCTAACAGACACTGCCTACTCTCCCAGCCAACCTCGCGTCCCTCCAGCCAACTTGGGCACATTCAGACCTAAAAAGAAATATTAGACAGAACTCAAAGTAAAACCAGCTTTGAATCTGTAATTTAAAGAAGAGAGGGAAAAAAGCAAAAAGAATATATATATATATATGTGTGTGTAAATAAATAAATAAGCATATTGATATGTTAAAAAAATGAATGAAGTTGTCATCAATATGATGTCAGAGGTAATAGAATAGCTATATGGGGGCCGGCCTGGTGGTGCACTGCTACAGTGCGCCGCTTGGGAGCGCGGTGGCACTCCCGCCGAGGGTTCGGATCCCACATACAGACCGGTTCCTGCTCACTGGCTGAGCGAGGTGTGGGAGCAACGGCGAGGGTTGTGATCCCGTTGCCGGTCCCCGTCCGGTATGGGCGTGACACTGAGGGTTGCGATCCGTTGCCGGACACGAAAAAAGACAAAAAGGAAAAAAAAAAAAAAAGAATAGCTATATGGAACCATCCACTCAAGTGCAACATTTTCTAACCCTAACAAACCTTCATGGAAATAATTTTATATAATGAAAAACTTGCATTTGAAATGTAGCCATTACTTTAATTTCACTTCAGTGTTATTTATTCTGTTAAATTTAATAAAATTATATTTCTAAATTATTTAATTAGATATAGGACACAATATTCTTGTTTTTTTATATTGCTAAATTCATGAGAAAACTAAAAATTTTACATTTTTTAAATATTACTTCTAGAAGATTAATCTTGTAACAAAAAACCTAAATAGACTTTCAGAAAAATAAATGAATAAAATAGAGTATCTATTGATTATAAGAACTTAAATGGTTTTATAAAATCACAACATATTTACTCCAAATCTTAATGGTGAGTTGTTTTTATTTTGTTGTTGGACAGGACAGTTTTATATTCCTATGGCTAATTAATGCCAGTATGTTCTAAATATAAATTTAACTCATTTACTTCAACAAACTTGATGGAACTACCTCTATGTGCTAGATAACTGTGCTACTACTTGGAACTACAAAAATGAATTCAGTTTTCAATCAGAATGTGTACAACGTATTTGTAATTAATAATAGCAATTAGAGCAAACATAGAAATTACTGTATTCCAGAACTTGTTCTAAAGGACACATATGTATGTGCGCATATATATATGTATATGTGTGTGTGTGTGTGTGTGTGTGTGTGTGTGTGTGTGTATAAAACTCAATAGTCAATTATTATTCCCATTTCACAGATGAGGACTCAGAGGCAAAGAGAGGTAAAGTAATGAAGCCAGGACTCAGACAAGGAATTTTAGTTCTAGAGACTATATTCTCACCCACTATTCATAGATGGTTCTTATAACACGGAAAATTAAGTCAGCAATATGCACCAAGTGCTAGAGACAGGAGGCAGGAAGTATTGCTTAATCTAGGAGTTAGGTAAGAGCTCTCAGGAGGAGATGACACCTAACTCCATGAATAAAATTCACTCGGATGAGTTTATTAATCCCAAAAGGTGCCAAATGAGAATATGTCATTCTGTCAACACTACTGGAGAAAAACATATTAAATGACCTTTGAATAGTGTATCAGTAGAACAGCACTTTATTTTTAAAGAAAAGCCTATAAGCTGAGTTCTATTAGATACAAAATAAAAGAACAGTTAGGCAAGCGAATAAGACAAATTATAAGATAAAAATCTAAAATAAATAAATTCCTTTAATTTTCAATTACACATTTCAAAATTTTTGCTATTTTTACATAGTAGCGCAGAAGTACGGAAATAATTATAAATGTCATGAAAATATGTTTTATTGTTTCTCCCAAGTTTTTACGTAAGTATTTGATATTTCTATAACATCAAATAAATAATTTTACAATTATCTTAGAAAAACAGAAAGTAACCCCTTAAAGGACTTTAACTTATATTATTGTATTACTGTGTATGTATGTACGAGTACATATACATATATATATATATATATATTATACACCTCCCATCTCAAAACAGGTTTATTTATTTCATTTCTCATGAATTATTAATAGTTTTTTCAAGGTAATGGCAAAGACAATTGATTTCTCATTCTAAGCTTCTTGTCAGATCAGGAACCTCTCAATTACATTTCAGCTCCCAAGCTCTTACATTTAATGGCAGAAATTACTTCAGTGTAAGACAAAAAGCAAGAGAATGGAGATATTGTACTCTACCAATACTTGTATTACTTAAGTGAAAACAGCAAAAAGAAGCACAGTGAAATCCTAATTTTCTCATTTCTGTTTTATTGCCTTGTACGGAGTGTTTATATCCAGAGGCAGCATTATGCCAGTGCACGACGAGGCATCGTTTCTGAACCTAGGGCCACCATCTCTTCTGCTTGGTCATGATGTCCATGCTGATTGGCCAGTTTCTGTGTCATGTGGGTGTCTAAACACTTTGAATAACACAGCTCTTTAACCCTAGAATTATTTTGTTTATTAAAATCATTATTTTTTCAGGTTTATGTTAGAAACAAAGCAGTGTCTTTGCATATGAGAAGAGCATTTGTATGTTAACATGATGCCATAGTAAAATATTAATTGCATCCAAGAAAATTATTCTGAGTTTCTCTAATGTAATGATAATTTGCATTTAGTTGTAGCATATTCCATTCATTATGTCAAATACTTCATCTGTCACATAAATGAAATATATGGTAATTCCATTAATGGAGGCATCAGACTTCTCCTGAATTTATTAGATACATTTGCTATTTTTGGTAAGAAATGATGACATAATTAAATCCCATTGAGAATTAAGATGTGTTTAGGGAATATATACTCTACTAATATATATTCTACTAATTTAAGTAAATACTGATAATAACTAATTATTATTTGTAGTTTATCAGTTACCTAACTTTAAAACATCATCTCAGTTTAGGTTCCTAGACCATTCAGGCCGTGTGTCTTTATATAATTTATAATCCTTCATTATACTTTAATCAAAATATTTTCTTCTCTTTATTCTAATAGTGTCCCAGTAAAACATTTGGTGGCTTTGACTCTACAAAGGACCTTCCCGATGATGTTATAACCTTTGCAAGAAGTCATCCAGCCATGTACAATCCAGTGTTTCCTATTAATAACCGCCCCATAATGATCAAAACAGATGTAAATTATCAGTTCACACAAATTGTAGTAGACCGAGTGGATGCAGAAGACGGCCAGTATGACGTCATGTTTATTGGAACAGGTAAATTTTTTAACTTCAGCTATAAATTTTCTCCCAGAACACTGTGTGTAACCAAGAAAGTAAACTAGGAACTGAAGGCGGTTTTTATATTCACTTTCAAGGTACAGTTAACCTCTAATAAATGACTAAAAGCTTGAATATTTACCATTAAAAACGTGTTATCTTTCTAGACAAATTGTGACATATTAATTTAAAATAAATTTCCTTTTCAATGAAAAGTTGACAGATGTAATCAAAGAAAAAGCTAATGATTAGGTGAATAATCAATGTTCCTAATTAAATCATAACTCTTTTCTGGCCAGTGGCTTTCTAGAGTAAAGATGTATTGCTCAAACTATGTCTGAAATTCCCAGGACATTCAATAATGGCTCTAGACTATGTTAATGCAAATTATCTGAATGTTAAAATTACCATAGGGTAAAAGGCCTTCAGCAAATAAATGTTGGCAATAAAATTTGTTCAGTGCTTCTGCCATACGAGGAGAAAGAAAAAAAGAAAAAAAGAACTTCATCAGAAAAATAACAAAATTGACCCAAGGAATTCTCAGATACATTTCCATAGAAACTTAACAATATATTTTTACTAGTTCTATGATTAGAAACAAATTTTTTGCAGGCATATTTACAGAATGAATTCCATTGTTATTGTGACATATTATTTTATTTTCCCCCTACTCTTTTTAATAGTAATACTATTTTTGAAAGTACCAGTTACAAATCTGAAACTTGCTACTTAGGGTCAGATTCCAAGGTAATAAATTCCTAGTCTCCATTAACGTTGTTAACTGACATAAATCAATGGAAAACAGAATGAGTGCTCCACTGAAACCTTGTATAATAACATTTATTTTCCCTTGGTGAGAAACAGAAAAAAACTGCATTAACTAACCTACAGGGGAATGGCAACTGTGTAGTAAGTGCTTTAAAGACTTAAAGGTTTATAGCAAAATTGTGAAATGCTTATGTTATCAGGTGTAACAGTGTCAGGTTCTGAGCAATACATTAAAATCTGCTTTTACGGGTGAGAAGGTTTCTCAATCAAATAAAAGAATCCCAGTGAGACTCAGGGTTCCGTAAAAGTCAATGAATTGTGAGTATCAACTTCTGGTTATAAATATCTTTAGAAAATATAAGATAATAGAATTTCCCTTCAGTAAATATTAATTTGCATTTAATATCAAATTATAATTGAATTTCTCTGCAGAGTAATTAAGTTTGCTCAATAATGTCAAACTTGCCTTTTTCTTCATCTCTGGCTTAAACTTGTTGAGAAGTCACTCATTCACTACCAAAGCAACAAAGCTAACTTACAGGTATTTGACCAAAGAAACCCAATTGTGAGCCTTTAATTCCTCTCAGACACAAACTGTCTTTAATGGCACCAGTTTCCAAGCATGTTGAATGTCTAATGATGTGAATGGATATCAGTCAGTACAGACCAGGTCATCTGTCAGCAAAGTAAATTGATTACAGTAATTTTATCTTTTTAACTAAGTTGCACACCATAGTCTATTGACTCTAGTTGAGTAATCTGACTCAATTTGTGTGAAATGGTTTGAAATACTACTCAGTAAAACTTGATCTGGAACACAGATAAAGCTGTGTTTGGGTACTGGAGACCTGATCAGAGGCATTGAGTAGATTAACCAAGTTTACCTTTAATCTTTGGTGTTATGAGTAGTCTAAGGTCCTGTAAACGTAGAAGGATCCTCTTAAAAGAGGACTTATAAAAAAAAAAAGGAAGAAACTTTACAAGGAATGAATTAGCAACCTGTTTCGATCTTACATAGTGCATCATGTTGGTACCCTGAAAATGTTTATCAATGTTATGAATACATTAAATTATTTTTCTCATGTAGCATTTTTTTATTGGTACAGTTTCTTCACAATAATTAGTCTGTTAAATTTGATTAAAATGAACCAATGTAAACTAAAATTAATTGACATTTAGTCATAACTGGACTGTTGAAGAGCCAAATTTTTGAATTTAGCAAGTACCTATTCTTTATTTTATCAAAGAATAGAAATATACCTGTAATGTTGGAAAATTAATATCTTCTTAATCCAGCTTAGAGTAAAAGGGATGGCTATTGTCACTAAAACAATTTGTCTCTTTTGAAAATCTGTCTAAAAATGAAAATTAGAAAAAAAATAAGGTTTGAAATATCTATAAAATGTATTTGATATAACCATTTTTATGATTTACACTTCTACATTTTAAATTGCTTTAATGCTCTAAAATTGATTAACCAATGTGTTTATTATTGAAAAACCACTAAAATGTGTAATCCTAGGTGTTCATTTTGCAAAATCAGGTATTGTCATTCATCCCTTAATGATCATTGAGCCATCTTCAGGGGACTCTAACGTACTAAGGGATTTTAGTACAACATTCTTTGCATATTCCTTCTACAATTAATCTTCATAGTAGTATCCTGATTTCATAATAAAAGTGGAAAACCTCTCATGTCAAACTTGTATTATTTTTAGGTTTTTAATTTTTTTTTCTGAGTCACCTGACAAAGAGATTTAAAAAAAAAAATAATAAAAATAATTAATCCAACCTAGCCGATCTCTGTTGTGATATTATATCTTTTTAAAATCATGCATCATCAGGATAAAATCTCCTCAAAGCTTAATTTATTTTTAAAAATTCAGTTGTTTTTATGTTTTAAGGCTGTTTTTATAGTTCATTTTTACAGTTTGTGTAATTGCATGAAATGCCTTTAAATATATATTTTACTAATGTTTTGACAAAAATAAATTAAATGAAGACTGAGATCAAAATGTTCTTTTTTGTACAAAAAACCGAATTCATCCATTAGCACTAAACTCAGTTCAGATCTATTTAAGTTGTGGTCTTCTCCACCCCACCCTCCTTTCTTTCAAAGATGCCGGAACTGTTCTTAAAGTAGTTTCAATTCCTAAGGAGACTTGGCACGATTTAGAAGAAGTTCTGCTGGAAGAAATGACAGTTTTTCGGGTGAGTGCTGCTTAATTTCAAGTGTCAACAAGTTCACTTGTACGTCTTTCCCCCAGGACAGCTGCACACTGAACCTGGTATGGCCAAGTAGTCCGGCATACCCTTCTAATTAGCTTGTCAATTAGAAAGCCAGACACCAGTCAAAATAAACCTTGAAACTTTCAATGCTAGTTAAATCTAAAGATGTAAAGAAATATACTCTTGGCTCATATTTTGTTTTCTCAATGATAAAATATATGATTTACATTTTATATTATTTATGTAAGTTACCTCAATGAACAATCTCCCCCCTTCTAAAATCTCCACTTTTATACTTTATGGTATAACCGGGATGATATGTAACTTTTATGTATGTATTAAGGAAAATGCATTCAGAATGAAAGAGCAATGAAAACATTTCAAACTTTTTTCAACTGATTCATGAATTGTTTTATCATATTTTCTTAAAGAAATCATTCGTTAGCAAAAGAAAGTTCAAAAATTTTATGTCACTAGTAGCAAATTTGTTATAACGTCCTGGTCTACACACTTAAGAAATGTACAGGTATTTGTCCCTTTGTCCTGATTCTCAGATGGCCCAGGTAAGTGTTTACAGGTTTGGGGGATTTGGGGGTAGAAGCGGTAGGATATGGATTGAAGGGGGAGAGGAGAACTGAGCTAGTGTAACACATACCATTATGTCTGTTCTTCCTTTTAAACAGGCAGCTAATAGGGATAGTTTGAATTGAAGCATACCATTATATGAATTATTTATGGGGCATGTCAGGAAGTAGATGCCTATAAATGGTGCTATTTTAATTTTTGATAAAAACAGAGATAAAATAATTTATAACTACAAAATAAACCTGAATTAGAAGACACTGGTGGGAAGGAAAATGAGAAAAGACTGGATTTGAGTATCACAACTTCAAGTGATCTCATTTAGTCTCCAGGTGTCTCAGATAGTTTACCTATAAAATAAAGGGCCTGGTTTAAAATTTTCAGTGTATTCGGTATTTTAATGGTAAGCAAATTCTTCCCAAGACTTCTGTTAAACCTGTATTGCTACACCAATGTTTTAACCCAATAGGCTCTTGCTCACTATTCAGTGGTATTTTAAGGAGAAAATGAAGAATAATTTGGCAAGCTTCTAATATATATTCAGTCAATTACAGTTATGGTTAGCATTAAAACATATGGCTGATAAATTTGATATAGACCATTTGTAAGAACCAAATAAACAGTATTCTAATGGAGTTTAGTCTCTTCCATCATAGCTCCATGACAATTCTGTTTGGAACACTTAACTCAGCTTCCCCATCAGTAAAGTAGTGAGAATAATACCTACTTCACTAGGATACTGGAAGAATTGGAGACACTGTATGTAAAGCACCAAAGACAGCGGCAGGCACTATGCTCAGATGTTATTATTAATATAATTTCCTTGTTTTAGTTTAACTAAATTGAAAATGAGCTATACTTCCAGTAGCTTTTTCTACTAATCCTTGGTTTAAGCCTTCAAAATAATAAAATCATCATAACTCTATCATAATTTTTAAAATCAGGTACTTTGGCCTTATTTTATTTATGTCTCTTACAGACTGTTGACTATTCCCTGTTCTTCAATGTGTCCCATAAGTTACGTTTATGAACAGACACATTGATAATTTAGTCTACAATTAAAAGTACAATTATCCAAATGGACTATATTAGTCATTATAGAATTCATTTAGATTTAGCAAAAAAATTATGGGCACTTAGAGACAGATATATAAATTGCTGTCATGTTTTCATTGTTATGTCTCCAGAGCCTAAAATATCATTTCAACCAACATTTATTAAATGAATGAATGAATAAGTATTGATTAAAAAATGAAATAGGAGAAATTAAGAGATCAAGGTCTTCTTTAAGAGACCATGCTTAGAGTTAGGTGCCAGAGTATAAAGAAGATAAACTAGGAACAGCAACAAGATTCTGGTCCATATTAATCTCTAGCAGAAAAAACTTTATCAACTATATATATTTAGGGATTTGTATTGCCACCACCGTTGCAAATAAATTTACAGGAGACATTAAAATATTATGTTAACTTAAGAATTTATTATTTCCAGACTCTATTTCTTTGGTATCATCATGGTTTCTTTGCATATTTCTTTCTGGTTGTCATTTACTATTAAAAGAGGATTCACTTATTAATTCAAATGTAAATAAATATATATTAGTATCTACCGTAATCCTGGCATAATTCTAAGTTCTGGAGACAGAGATAACACTACAAACATGGTCCCTGACATCATGCAGCTTATATGTTACACTTCTTAGTTTCAAGGATTTTTTTTATCTATTAGAACAATTAAATTTTATTTTGTGCCACTGTATTGTCACATCATGGCATTTTAAAAAATGTTTCTTTTTTTCTATCGTTTAATTATTTTCTGAAACTTTGTTAATCAGAACATGCATAATTTTACAGTGGAACTGTATTCTAACTAATTTTTATTCTTCATATCTGTAAGAATTTAAGTTTATATTTTACATCTTAACTAATTTCTCTAGTACATTATTAGAAATTTTAACTTAAAAAGATATTAATTTAAGCCGACCTGTTAAATGACTTTTAACAAAATCACGAGATGTTGGAAGTCAACAATCTTTCAAATACAAGTTTTTATTATCTATTAGATTTTGTTAGTATTTTGCAGTTTCTAGAGAAATACACAATCAACTTACACCTGTGATAACTACTGGGTGACATTTGAATGGCATTAAAGATATCATTAGAAAGTTTCTTAATCAGTCTCTAACAACTAAGTATAAGTAAGTAATACTGTGCAAGCATGAAAATGAGTATTTATGAGTCTACAATTTGGTAAAAAGATGTTTGCAACCTGGAACACATCTCCTTCCATAAAACCTGTTCTAGTTCTCCTTTATATTCTGTGTTAAGCATTATTGTTGTTATTATTTCTTTGGCACTCAAGTAGACAAAACATATTTGGGCAGAGTTTAGAGAAATATTTACTTTCAGCATTCTATTCTATCAGGCAAAGTTCAAACATATATTGTGGTCTAGCAATTGGAATATTTCACTGTCAAACTTTGTTTAATTTTACAGTAGGATAAAAAAACCCCCACAATACATTAAAGTGATAGCCATATACAGTGAATAAGCAAAGAAATGTACAGTTTCTATGTTTATATTTGAGCCTTGTAAGTTCCATTTAAAATAAAATATGATAAAGAAGGGTCAACCTGAGCATTATGATAGTTTGACAAGATAAATAGACAAGGTACAGATTTAGGTTCATGGTAGTATCTGTTACTCTTGGATTATTTTTTAAAGACATTTAATGTTAACCAACTAATTTACTTTATTTACTGTATTATCATCTCCATGAGACCGTATTTATTATGTGCCTTTGCTAGACTGAATAACCAAACCTCGTATAAATTCCTGAATTAAAACCAGTACTATGCCTATTGCCATCTTGAAGTTGGTTTTAGGAAAACACCCTGGCTAATCACAGAACATTCCAGTGGTTTCAGTTACATACAAGATACTTTTATTCTGGGTGAAATCAAATCTCATTCAGAGTACAGAAAGAAAAATATTACTTGGTAATAAAAATTTCCATTTTAGAGTAAAATTTTAATAGGTAACAAGAGATGAAATAAAATTGGCATTGGTATAAGACTCTAGAAATGGTTTTGATTTGCCATTAAATTTTCAAAATAGTATTGAAGCAATAAGACACAGCCTAATTCCAAATGTGATTTGCAATCATAAATCTGACTTGGAATTATATTTACTATATGATTCTGAACAAGTTGGTTAAAGTCCAGTGAGCTCACTTTCTTCATCTCATAGTGAAAATCATGATTATGAACACTTTCTTGAAAGTGTTTTTTTTAAAGATAAGATTGCTAGTAAATGGTAGCTATTTTTAACTTGTTATGCAGATGAAAATCTTGTTTAAAATGTTTGAAAATTCTACATGTACACCTTATATTTTAAGAAGATTCAGAAGATATAAAAACCTGACATATGCTGATTTTACTTTAACTATTTAGTGAGGTATTTTCCTTTCTGTTCAGTAAGAGGGTTTTACTTTTTTTTTTTTTTTTCCTTTTTGTCTTTTTTTTTCCGTGACCGGTAACAGGATCACAACCCTCGGTGTTGCGCCCTCACCGCGCTCAACCAGTGAGCAGACCGGTCTCTATATGGGATCCGAACCCTCGGCGGGAGCGCCGCACTCTACCGAGTGCGCCACCGGGCCGGCCCCAGAGGGTTTTACTTTTGAGACAGTTAAGTGTTACATCAAGTTGTAGGGCACTTAGGACAATGGGCTTTATTTATAGTCCTATTGACTGCAAAGGATTACAAGGTAGTTACATTGATAATACATGCATTTTAAACCCAATTTATGCAATATTCCATGAATAGCTGAGCAAACAAATGAGTTTTATGTTCATTCAAATGTAAAATATAATTGATGCTTTCCAAAACCTAGTCTATTAACTCATTCTAAAGGAGCTTCCAGATGCTTAGCATCCAGTGAACTATGTTAGAATCTCCTGGGATCAACAGGTTGAAAAGCTTTGCAAGAGAAAAAGTTTAATAAGGACTAGATTAAAGTATCTAGAAAAAATAATATGGTAAATGGGAGTCATAGAAAATCTTGAAAAGATGCTAAGTTTTTAATTTCATTTTTACTCGAACGCCAATTAAATTTGCAATTGAAACCGATTTCATGGAAACAATGCTTATGAAACTACATCTGTTTTAAATGGAAGTCATATTCACCACCAGTTATTTCTCAAAAATAAATAAATAAATATATATATATATAGTTTATTTAAATGGATGTCATTTTAATACACTATTAAAATTCAACTGCAGGCAGCATATTGTACCTCTTACTCAAAATTATTATTAGTTTCCTGGTCTAAATAATAAATAAGGTTCCTCTAATTAAGGAATTCTAGGATCTTAATTTTAGAATGTTGAAATGATAATATGGAATAAACAAGTTTGGTGTGTACTAGGGATCATTTTATGTTTTACAATTTATATACAAAATAATTCATTTTCTCTGCCTTATAGATACTTGGCTTTTTGCATTGTCAATGAATATGAAATGTATGAATATTAATTAGATTCTTATTTTAAAATAACTTGACAGAGTTAACTTTCACTTCAATTACACTAGTTAATTCCTCTCTGCCTGCGAAGCTCTTTCCTTGCACCTTGACTGTAAAATTTATTTCATGAAAACGTACATGAATTTAACTGCTTAAATAACATAACTATTTCTCAAGTGAAACTGTTGGGATGAAGAAGTTGCTATGGAAAATGTTCTTAACTATTTTAAATTCTCTGTTTTGGTTAATTGATTCCAGTATTGTACAAACCTAAATACGATCTTTAGCTTTGTCTTTAAAAGCTGAATATCTGTGATGAATTACCCCTTTATTTTGTGATTTGATACTCCTAAATTCTAAAGATTAAATCTCTACATGGATAAAATTGGTAGACATTTCTTGCATCACAGTTGTCTTGATGATTGATAAGTCCTATAGAAAATTATATTTAATAATTGATATAATTCATTTAGGCTACAAAAATAAGAAATTATGGGAAATCTCTAAATTATCCCATTAAATTAATGTGCATTCAGGGATTGAAGTAGAGATGAGCCATCCTGCAGCATATGGGGGCAATTAAAACCACAGGATTGGATGATCTCACCAGGACAAGAAGGTAGCATCCAAAAGAGAGTGGAAAGAGGTGGGCAAAGGCAGGCAAACATGTAAGGAAAGGCTGGAGGATGAGAAGAAGACTGTGATAACGGTTATTAAAAATAGTGATAAAGAATTCTAAGGCATAATAGAATTTAAGAAAGAAAGCAGTCAAGAAGAAATAAGTCATCAATAGTGCCGTATAAAACAAAGAAGTCCAATCATAATTGTACGAATGAGGGCTGGCGGGTTAGCTCAGTTGGTTAGAATGCAGCCTTATAATACCACGGTCAAGGATTCAGATCTCCCTACTGGCCTTCCCCCAACCCCACATATATATAGACAGAAAAGTGCCCATTCAGCAATACAGAGTTCACTGGTGATTTCTGCTTCTGAGGATAGTAGGCCACCACTCAAGAACAAGGGCTAGACTCAGTGGCTTGAGGGGTGGACGACATTGGATGAGAGAAGAACAAGGAAAGACAGTGAATATAGAATATTTAGATTATATCTGAAAAAATTCCAGATATGCTACAAGGATCAAGGAAAGACTTCATGACATGGCTGTCTTCATCTTATATACAAATTAAGTGGAAGGAATACAGCATAGTGGGGTAAGTTGAAGAGATAAGAGAAAAAGTGGGAAATTCATAGAGAATTCATTCATTCATTCATTCATAACAAATATTTATTGAGAGCTTGTAAATACAAGGTGCAATCCCAGGTGCTAGGGAAATGACAGTGAACTAAACGGCCAAAATCCCTGTCCCAAATTGAGGGGAACAGCCAATTAATAAGACGTGTTTGATGTCTCTGCTGGCCCTTCTCATATCCAATTCCTTATGTGAACCTTTCACTTTCTGCTCCAGGACCTCTCTGCCAGCAGGCCAAAAGACAAGCAAGAGTCACGGCTGGGGATGTGGGAGATGTAATACCCCTGAGAACATCCAATGAGTGAGGGGATGAATAAATACTTTTCTTGGTACAAATCTCAGTGGACAATTTTGAGAATCGTTGTCCACTATCCTCAGAATTTCTATGTGTGATGACTCTCATAACGTACCTTGTTATTGACGTTTCCACCTTCCTCTCAATCTTCAGTTCCTCACTCCTGTTCTGTGCCTGCAAGATTTTATGATCTTACCCCATAGTGCACTTTGGGGTGTGGGGAAAAACTCACAAGACATGAGATAAATTATATAATTTATTGATGATTAATATATATTTATTAATTAATAATATATTAATTTATTATATAATGTGTATGAGAGAGAGAGAAAGAGCGAGGGAGGGAGGGGAGATCTGAAAAAACACTATGCACCAAGCACACTTGTAAAGTGTTTTACATGTCTTAACTCATTTAATCTTTTCAACAACTCTTTGAGGAAGGTACCATCAGACCCATTTTTCAGATGAGAAAACTGAATTACAAGGACTTTACTGCATTGCCTAATATCACATTTCTGGCCTGGTGTGGGTCACAGTACGAGTCCATGAAGTTTGGCTCCAGAGTCCAGCTCTTCACACTTTTTGCAGGGCTCAACTTAGGTTACCTGAGCCATGAGGCGTTTAAGGATCATTCATCCCACCTGAGCCTCTTTCTTATCAGACCATCTGAGACCCACAAGCAATATCCTTCTTAGCTTCGCGTTTGTCTTTGTTGAAAGATATGATGGTGCACAGTTCAAAGAAAGGGAATCTAAAGAGATGTAAGCTAATATATTCAGGTGTATGGCTTTTTAGTGGTCTACATTCATCGAATAACAGGATTTATGTATGCAAGTGCATACACGTTTACCATAAGCTCCAGGTAGAATACTTACCAAAGAGCACAGGTGATTGTTACTTCCCCAGTTCTTACTTCTCTATGTTAACCTGTGGATAGACACTGAAGAGATTATATTCTCTGGCAAGGAACTGAAGTGCTGATCATCTTTACATTAAACACTCCTTTTAATAGCAATAAAATAACCTTGTCCCAAGTGAGCTCTTGCAGTCCTTGACAGCTGGATACTGGCCTAATATTATCAGCTCCTGTTGGTGGTGTTAGGGGCTGGCCCAGCACTCTCAGCTAAACCACAGTGTTCTCCAACTGAACATAACAATTTTCACAGAACACCAACAGCAGACAGCCACTCTGAGACCATGATGAATCAAGATAAAAGCAAGACTATTGTGTAATCAGGCCTACACACAGACAAAAACATGAATATGTCCAAACCATAAAAATGACCAGATATCCCCATGTTCTGCCTAACATGAATGACTGCTACTTCTATACCAATCATAGCTTTAGCCTTACTCCATTCTTCCCTCCTTCTAAATGATCTATGAAGATACCTAATTATTGAATTATCCCTGATTTTTGACAGCATCTAACTCAGAGCAAAGCCCTATTTCTTTGAACCCTCCCTTGATAACACAAACCCAAAATATGCTCTTTCCAACACTCTCTAACTGAGCAGTCCTGTAGTCTCCCTTATAGCACAAGCAGCAAACCCAAACTGTTCAACTACAAGTATTTTCCTGACGGTCTTTGAGTGGATGATGTTGACACAGTCTTATTGTTAGCTGCACATTATTTGATAATGCGGATTCTTTCTATGCAGTTTCTTTCATGTGTCTTATTTCTCAATTATATTGCTTCTTGTGGGCACTAAAGTTCTGTCTCTGAAATTGTACATAGGTGCCTTGTGTTAATTATTAATGGCTGACTTTTCTAATTGTCCAAACAATTCACAAATTTATTTTTCCTCTTTAGGAACCAACTACTATTTCAGCAATGGAGCTTTCTACTAAGCAGGTACTATTATTATATTTTATTATCAGTATTCTACATTTTGTTAAGTTTGTGTTTCATATAATTAGATATAGTTATTATTCATCAAATTTTACGGATTTGTTAACAAATGCAAGGAAGGAAGAGAGAAGTAATATCATTCTTACAAAAAGCTGGTAGAATAAAAACTAAAGATAGTTTTCATTGTCCCCATGTCTTCCACTAATTTCATCTGTGTCCTATAAACATATTTCTGGATCATTATTTGTTATAAATTTTTATTTGTAGTATTTTCTTTTGGTCACTGTAATATAGTTTATGAAATACTTAATAATTATTTTTTTTTATCTTTCATGGTTATATACTTTTTCCCATAAACCTTACTTAGCCTTTTAATGAAAACTATTTCAAAAAAAAAAAAAAAAGGCTTGGATATGGAGTTGAAATTAATTGTTTAATAATTTAACAGAAAAAGCCAGAAGGCAGTCACTATAGTAAAAGCTCACATTGTAAAATATGAGAATCATCTGGCTAATCTTATTTCTGAACTGTTTACATGTTTTATCTCTGACCGTGCTTTGTCCATTGAATAAGATACTAAATTACTGTTCCAATAAAATTTAATTTGCATCCTTTCCTCACAGACATATCAAAATAGATTGATAATCTCCAAGATATTTAGAGAAGTCAGAATGCAGATATTATTGACCTGAAACTGTTATCTTACACTTCATAAGTCTGTGTTCACCTGTTCTTGTAATCTAAAAATTGTCAGATGTTGGCAAGGAAATCCGGGGATTTCCAGGATGGAATCTAGACTGGGATATTCATTCTCATAATGATTTTTAAAATTATTTATTCTTTGCTAGGCCCCATAGCCAATCTTAATTACATTACCACCATATCTAGATTTGTAAAGCATTTCTTTCTGTTTTAATTTTTTTAAAACTACCTAAAAATTGCCTATTAATGTAACGTTTCACCAAGAAATAGACAAAAGCAGTCTATGAATTTAAATACCATACTGGAAGAAAGTGTCTCTAGCCTTCATTTCCCGTTACTGGAATTTGATTTCACTCGGATATGACTCAATTTCATTCATGCTTATGGGCATTTTAAAAATAATGTAGTAGTTTCAAGAGAAACAAGTAGTGGTGCAACTAATTTTCTGGTTAATTGAACTCATCTCCTGCTTACAGCCCACGACTTGTTAAGGAGGATAGTGAGAAAGCCTGTGGTGATGTTAAACTGGGCAGAAAAAGCACACCGGGTTGCTTGCCAATGACTGGATTATGCTCAATGGTGCCTGCAAGCCTCCCCTATATTTCATTTGGATAGCTTAATTATTTTTGCCCATCATTAATAATCCTGCAGAATTATGGTAAAATGTAAATAGCATTCAGTTGCATTTAATTTTTGGCATTTTATCACACTTTAGTTTTTCACTATAGTAATTTCAGTGGCCAAATTTTTGGTTTTCTATTCCTTATATGTATTATTTCTCTGTGTTTCTCCTAAAGGAATATAAAAGATTTAGATATTGTTATTTAGATGACTCCTTTTCTACTCAAATGTCACATCCTTAAACATCTGTAAATATGAATTTTATTCATACTTCTTAAAAGTTACTGGCCAAGCATAGATATATTTTAATTGTGTGACCAATGTAAATCAGTAGCTTTTTAAAATAGTTATGACCGCAATATATAGAATGACATGTCCATATTCACTATTACCAACCAAACTTCTGGATATTGTTACCCTATCCTAACTAATTCCATTATGGTTTAAATATTATGTATTTGTTTTATTTTTTATCAAATTGAAATTGCTTGCCTTCAATAGAATCTAAGTTCATTAAAATAAAAAAAAAGAAGAAAAAGGCTGTTGGAAGAAAGAAATAAGGATAGGAGGGGAAAGCTCAGCAATACTCCATCTTTTCCTTCCAGGGACTTTAACATAATTTCTTAATTTGTCCTGATTAATAGAATCTTTTAATATAACAGTAAAATTTAAAGATAGTGAAAAGTAGAACATTTAGTAATACATGCTATAATTTTGTGTTCCTTATTTATGGAATGGAATAGCAATATTTATCAAGATAAATGCTTCCACAATGGTTTCATTTTTATTGTTATTTTTGCCCTCTTATTTTGTTTTCTTGTATTAAAATATGTGTGTTGGTTAGCTTTAAACAAAGAAATATGTCCTATGTAAACACTACTTATAACTTGAATAATTTTTTAGATTCTCGTAGATACTTCAGTCTACTTGCAATCAACTTATCTAGTTACATATGAAAGTCTTTGGAAATGCTACTTTAATGTACTGAAGTATCCATTGCTGACTATTAGATAATTTGTAATATTTTACAAAGCACACCATTGTCCAGAGAATGGCTTCTCTGAGATGTATTTTTCATCTACATACTAGAAAAATTAAAACACACCTTTGAAGTCCTTTCCATGTGTACTATTACATATTTCAGTATTTACATAACTTTTATTTAAGGCTTAGTATAGTTAATTATTCAATCCTTTAGTGCCCAAAAAAGGAGCTATGGTACCAATTAAAGTAAATACAGAGAAATCACAAAATAATTTTATTTTTATTTCATTTTGCATTTACATAAATTTGCAGCTGATATGCTACATTGATTTCTCTTTTTTAAAGACATTTTTAAAGTTGTACGAATTAGTAGCTACTAGAAAAAATTTTTTTTTAAATCTTCCATATTCTTCCTCGTTCTGTAACTTCAATTTCATTGAGGATACTGGCAATATAGAATGTTATATCTGCATAAATAATTTAAAGATCTTTTAAACATGGTCATTTTATGGATTAGGAGGTTAATCTTTAAAAAAAATTGTGAATTGTTCAAGATCACACCGAGAGTTAATGTATGGCAAGATCTAAAATGCTGGTACCCCAATGCACCAAACAATGCTTTTTCTACATCTCAGCTTTTAGTTTGGTAGACAGCACCAGAGGGTACTTGATTCCCCTCTTTGATGATCTTTCAGATGAGAAATATTTTATAAGTTTTGGTGAAAATAATCTTCCTGGAGGTAATGTGAGGGCAAAGCAGTTCTCGGTGTTGAGCCAAAACTTCTTTCTAACTCAAGTACCAAAATATCACCCTTTCCCATCATAGGAAGGCACACAGTATCACAGGCCATGCAATAGGTCATCTAGAAGACAGAAGCAAACAATTCCCATCTTAAGCCCATCTGAAACACATGGTGATGAAGATTTTTTGGTTAATCAAAATTATAAACAGTAGAAGTGAAAAAGCAAACTTGCTAAGAACAGGAACAGAAGATTTGCATATTACATTGCTTGATATATTATTGTCTTCCTTTATCTTTACTTTGTTTTATATTTAATAAAAGACATCTGTTTCAGTCAAATATTGAGACTTTGTGCTTGCCCCATTTTAAAGTGTCATATTATCTTCCAGGCTTTTGATGAAACAATAATGGGATTTTTTTTTTAAACTCATAATTTGTCTTTGATAAGTTATGTTTAAATAGACTTTTAAACATTTTTTGTAAAAGAAAAATGAGATTTAAAAAACAAGATAGTTTTTGCCATAAGAGTAACTCTTTCTGCAGCAACAACTGTATATCGGTTCCACTGCTGGGGTTGCCCAACTCCCCCTCCACCGATGTGACATTTATGGGAAAGCCTGTGCAGAGTGCTGCCTCGCCCGAGACCCTTACTGTGCCTGGGATGGCTCTTCATGCTCTCGCTATTTTCCCACTGCAAAGAGGTAGGAAACATATTAAACATAAATAAAATGTTTGCTAGTTACCTTACCTGATTGCATTTTTGGAACAGCTTTCTTTAAATAACTACATCACCTTTTTCTGATAACTAAAATGAGGATTGGGGGTAAATGGGTTCCCCCCCCCCATCTTAAAATAGTCAAAACAATGAGAAAAATGGATAATAGGAAAGTTGGGTATTGCATATAACAGAACAAATGGTTTTAGTAAATTATTGAGGGAAAATTAAGACAATAATATCCCTGAATGTTTACACTTGGAAATTATACAGTTTTGCAACTTCATGTCAAACAGGGGGAAACTGAGGGCCATAGCTACAGAGAAAGTCATGAACAGAATCTAGACTGAGCCTGGTGCCTTTTGAACAAAATGCTCTGTTGTCCAACAAATGTCCTTTTTCATCCAGCAACAATCTCTCCTGTTTTTAATTTTAACAAGGCAATTTATGTCCTTAGATGAACATAAAATTCTCAGAAAAAGAAATTTATTTTCTGTTATAGTCTTAGGGAATATATAGAGACCCAATTATAGAAAGTCAAGAAGAATTTATTCCTACTTTTGAAAGTATCACGTTTATATGTGATATATGTAATATTGATTAACACCTGAAAATATTTGTTTGACTCAAGAAAATTTAAATTACACTATATTATCAGAGTATCATTTTATGTTTGCAGTGTTTGACCTTAAAATATAAAACCATGTAATAAAATACCTATCTGTATATATGCATTATACATATATCTTAAGTATACTCTTGATAGTACTTAAAAGTATATTTTTGGACATGCTTCAATAAAGTTGCTAAGATGTGCTTAGAAATTTATCTGAAACATAACTACAAGTTACTGTCTATACAAGACTGAATGCATTAGGAACACACATTTGATCATTTAATATAGTGATATTTTTAGGAAACGTGGTTATACTACAGAGAAATTCTAGACACATCCAAAAAGTTATACAAACACTTGGTTTACTTTTGCTTTAAAAAATAAAAAACATTTTCTTCACTTGACAAAATAGCCATCTCAACAAATCCTCTGCTACTCAGTGACAGATACCTTCTCTACTGATACTTAGCAGTGTTTAAGAAATAAACAGTGGTAGATTAAAAAAACATATAGTATCTCATTAATGTGGGCCTAAAGAAAAAAGGCATTCATGTTAATATATTGAAACGTAAAATAGAAACCAGCATTATCGAGCCACTGCATTTTAGGCACAATATAATTTGTTTTCTTTATTTCTTATTATAGCTAATGTTTTCAAAGAAGCTATAAATATGGATTTTTCATAGCTACTGAAATACGTTCTACAACATTTAGATCATTTTAAATGTTCAGAAAAATATTAGAAGAAATGGCCCTAGTGTCTACTTTAATCTTTTGATTACACACTTTAGATAACATTAACTAAGTATTAAATCATCTACAACTTAAGTCTATCATATAATCAGTTCAAATGGATTAAAACACAGTATCTTGTTAATAATGTTAAATAATGTTAAATGTAGTATTAACTCATTCCATTTAAGAAACACTTAAATATTCTTAAGCCTTCAACATTCAGATGATATTATTATCAATTGAGATGATAAGATGTTTGTATTACTTTCATATACCCATTAATTTTTCTGGAATTCCAACTTTAAAATAAAAACTCAGTGTGGAGATAATGTCCATTGATTAAGAAATCATGGATAGTTTAATAAATAGTGATATACAGGCATTACAGCAATAAAATTAAATTATTTAAGATTAAAGTTCTATACTTACAAACATTTAGCTCTGGGTGGCTTTTACATTGCCTAAAAAAAGGGGAATTATATTCGAACTAAAATAGAGTATTTTTTTCAAGTGAAAGTGTATAATTTTGCCTAATTTAGTAATAATCCATTCGATTTTAAGCTTTTCTTAAATCATAACTATATAATAAGTTAAACATATATATTATTATTATATATATACCTATTTCAAGATTGAAGGAATTTTCATTGACACATTTTTGTTATGCCTTAAAGACTTTCCTTAATCCACTTTCATGGATCTGACAATATATCTTTGAAAATGATGTTTAGAGACATCATGATGTATATATTCTTTGGGATTGTATTTTTCAAAAGCTTAAATGGCAGTGAAAAATGCCTTCCCAAATTCTTTGTGGTTCGTGTTTCACAAGTTCTCTTGTTGGCTCAATTTTGAAATGTGTAACATCTGTTTGATAGTCTCACTAATTCTACAAATAGAAATCTATAAATACTTTAGGCTTCTAAAATTATGACTACAGTAACAAATTCCATATTTGCAATTCTCAATGGCCTTTGTGAGAGTTCTTTTTAAGGAATGGTAACTAATTTTACAGCAAGACAATACTCATTAAAATAGCCACAGAAAACAGTTGGGCAAGTGTTCCCCAATCTTTTCCAGTCTGTTACACATAGCCAATCCCCATTTTTAGACTCTTCATTGAACTACATGTCTTTTTTGCACCACAGTGGCTAGAGCCCACCTCTCCTTCCCAGTCAACCATTAGCAAAGTATAGAGAAAAATGCCAGAATGGACTGTAACTAACATATAATGTGAGTAGGAGAAAGTAGAAAAAAAATTTGATTTCTATAAGCAAATTTTGCTTATAAGATTAAAATTTGCTGTAAAAATTTCTCTTACAGATAAGTTTGTCTCTTCTCTTTCACCTTCCTCTGGCAAAAGTCCTTAAGTCCAACATGTATTGTTGTTTTTTTCTTTCTATTCACTTTGCAGGTGAATTGGCTTGCACTCATAGCCATATGATCATGAAATAAACTGTTATTTTTAAAAAGGCTGATAAAGCAACTAAAAAAGAAATTTTAAAACTAAGTTAAAAATAGAATCTCTTCTCTTAAAATTATAAAAGTTTAAGGAATTATGTAGATGCATTAAGAAAAAGAACATTAAAAAGAATTTTAATTTTTATGCTTACTCCCTCATTAACAATCAGAAAAAAAAGTTTAATTCTGTTAAGTCTTGAAGAAATGGGTTACTATCCTAAATTTTCTGCTTTTTTTCTTGGAAGTTAAGCTTAGAATTTCTAGATGCTAGATTGTTATTGATTGACATCTGGTAGTGAAAAACCAAGGATTCTCTGTTATCGATATTTCAAAAGACTTTAATACATTGTTGGAACATTTTGATTATCTCAGAGACTGCTCTTACAGTTATGATAAACTGCTTTTAAAACATCTTTTAGTCAGATACAGATGCATCTCTTCCTATACCTTGTTGGAGTATTTAATAACGGGTTTCTGATTCTTCCTCATTCTTGTGACAAATTCCCAACAGGGAAAGCAGAGATACAATAATACCTTTTAAATGTAATTGTTTTAGACGCACAAGACGACAAGATATAAGAAATGGAGACCCACTGACTCACTGTTCAGACTTGCAACACCATGGTAAGTCACATTTTTCCTCTTTTGACCTGGTAACACCAAGATCACCACTCCAATTATAAGCGATCACGCATATCCACACACATGTGTGCTTTGCACACATCTGTCCCTGAATACTTCAAGACATGCTGCTGAAGAGGGGGAAAAAAAATCCAGCAGAAAGAAAATAGTAAAGAACACAAAAACAACACAAAGCATTGAATTATATTCTATCATCACAACTACGATAAATTCAACATTTTAGATGCTTATGAGATTTAAAGCTCAACTTTCTTACATTAACAGAAAGCAGCCAGGTTTAAGTACATACTTTTCATACAGAGTAGCAATCTGAAGGGAGCAGGCAACAATAATGTAGATTAAAATATGTCAAAGAAGAAAATATAATCTTAAAATAGATGATACAGATTATTCATTAATCTACTGATGATACAAACCTTATATTTTTTTATTGGGTATCACAGCCAAGTAGAATATAATGTAGATGTCTTCACAATGAGTTACTAGTTAGGATATTCCCTTGAACTGGACATTTTGAACCAAATTCATTTTATGCTTCCTAAAATATGTCAAGGCCTATTTAATATCAAAGTTGTTTATTTAATGCTGAAACAACAACCAATCTTCACATAAAATCCAGCAAAATTGTAGTGATATATCATTCTCCTTACTTCAACCATTTATGAAAGTAATAATGAGGTTATGCTTCCCTCTGCTGGGGAAACTTTCCAATGACAAAACTGCTAATGAACACTTGATCATTAAGAATAGTTAAAATGTAAAATGTGAACATTCTAACTGAACGTAATTACCCTATTAATTTTTTGTGCCTTTTACATTATCTCTAAAAGTAGCCTTAATATTTTTTATCAATAAACTTTGATTTGATTACTAATTATGTGTCCAGAATATTTATGTTTCATGAATGTTAAGGAAACACTGCCACAAATAGTACACCAGCATGCATTCCAAAACCTTCTTACCTTACTGAAATTCAGACCCCCTCGCCCCCACCCCTGCTGCAATTGCATAATCTGGATGTGGTGGTATCCAATTCATGAATAATCCTAGGGATGTTAGGGGGTATCAATACCAGGAGACAGGTAACCATGAATGAAACCAATGTTTTGACCCACTTTGCTTGCAAAATTTTCTCTCCATGGACTTTCCTATCTGTTATTGTCCTCATTATAAACAAGAAAGAAATCACTAAATGGGAGTAAATGTTATGACTGTTTGTCTGGCACAGGTATGGTGCATTTATTGACACACCTTCTTTCAATTTGTCAAATGGCATATTTCAATTGGACAATGAAATTTTCACTAGCCTTTCAGTAATCTACTTTATGTAAAAATGTTAAATTATAATCAGCACCATTCTACCAATGAAGTATTAAGAAGTACCATATATTAAAGAATGTATTTGTTTAAGATGTGGAGAGTTAATGATAGTAACAAGCAAAAACACAAGAGGATGCAACTGGAACTCATTTCTAATCAAACCTTAATCCTCAGTTCAAAATGAACCATGTTATTCTGCTCACTGTTGTATCTCTAGGCCTACTGCAGATACAATATCATAAGTATTATAAATACTCAATAAATAGTTTTTGAATAAATGATTGATCTAAACATTTTGAGCTATAATATAGATACTTGTCTTATTATTTTGTTTTTCAGTAGAGTTGAACTAATAGCATCTATTACGTACTGTGAAAAAATGCTCTAAATCATGCATTGTTATTATTAATACCATAATATTCAGAAATAAAATTTCTCTTTAGAAACATCATTAATCAATAAATATTGAGTATACTCCGTTATATGTAAGGCACTATGCTATGTTTTAAAAATTGCTAGAGATTATATGTACAAGGTATTTCAGAAAGTTTGTGGAAAAATAGAATTTAAAGATAAGATGAATTTTTCTATGAACTTTTTGAAGTACCCTTGTGTATATAATCTTACTGAAACATCCATCCGTTTATCAATCCAGTCCCTTTATAGACCCACTCAGTATTTCAAAATGATATTCGTACTGGAGTTATGAGTATATATACCCACAAGAAAAAAGCAACCAAAGGATTTTTGAAAGAGTGAGACCGTGGATGAATGAATATTGTTCACCATGGAATGCATAGACTTTGGAGAGTGTTTCAAAATATAAAGATGTACTTGGATGAAATCAGAGTGGGTAAAACCTATGAAAATTGGACATATAGAATTGCTTAGCTATAGAAAGTGAAGAGAACACGAACAAATTTTTCTCCTGATTCTTCTGTCAGAATGCATACTGTAGGGAGAAAGGGGAATTGTTGTAATTCAATGTAACAGGGTCTCTTGAGAGTGTGTGGGTAAACAGCTCCAAGTAGATGTTTGTGATATATGGGAGGAAAGCGTAAAATAGTCCAAGAAGCCCTGCAGCAATAAAACACTCCTTTTTTGAAGCCTTTTTTATTTCTTGTCTGCTTGTGTTGCTAATTGACGAAACAAAAAACACATACACCATAGATTACAGTGAATTTCAAATATTTGAAAACTAAGTCAGGCATTCCCACTTGGCCAGGGTGAGTCTTACCATTAGGAATCAGTGAATTATCTTGAAGTAGTTGATGTCAATATTTGTAACTAAAATAGGCAGAAATCCAGAGCCCAGCCCTGTTAAATCATGTATGTTGTCTTGCTAATGTCACTTCTCACATTCAATAAAATATATGTGCTCATATGGAAACATATAAAGATATGCGATGTTTTCACGGAAAGCTGCTAAGCAACACCAAGCCAAATTACACACTTCAAGATGATCAGTTCCAGCTGTAATGGTAAACGTATTCTGTAACACTCTATATTTTACATATTCTGAGGTAGTAATAGAGAGACTATATATAAAATAACTCAGAATTAAGGTGAAAGAAATTTCATTTTAGATGAAACCTTTAACCCTCACTCAGTACTCTGCTCCCTCTCATGTAGGATCACTATTGGTGAACTGGCCCTGGTGAAATAAAAAATCCAGCTCCACTTGCCTTGATCCCAGCACCCTTTCCTCCATCACTGGTGGCTACTCACCTAGGGAGCTTTTAGTATCAAACACTAAATACATATGAGCTGGTAAGTCGTGTCTTCCCACTCACACCTCATACACGATGCTAACAAGAAATCTCAGGTTGTTTCCAATCCGTTCCCTTCCCCCAAATAATTGCTGTGCACAAAATTGGAGCTTGTCTGACTTTACATTCAAGAAAATGACTGAGTCAATTTATCTCTAAACTACCTCATTTCCCTCTTCTTTCCCAAAGAAGAATGAGCCATACTATGATTTACATGTCCAGAAAGGAAAAAGCTGTACCATAAGTACCACTATTTAAAAAAGAAAAATTAAAACATCATTTTAGATTTCTGGAACTTTGATATATTTTATGTCCTATCTTCTAGTTTATTGGCATTATTGAATTTCACTCCTTAATACTTCCTTTGGCTGTTCTGCATACATGCATTTCCTTCCTAGCATCTTACAGTAAAATGTCCATAGAATTCAATCTTCTTAATTATCTCCACAACTAGCCCATTTCAATTTATGTCTTGGTTGGTATTAAAATCATTCCCAAATTTCATAAAATAATTTTTGCGGTGCCATCTTCATGGACTGCAGAGCTGTAAATTTAGTATTTTGTAGAAATGCTGTTGTGATATATGCCTTAGCCTCTTCCAACTATGAATCTGAGCATATAGCCCAGAGAGGAGCCTTGATTTGATTAATTTGATAGATGAGCATGATGTCAGTCTTTAAAAAATTCCTAAGCTTAATAAATTAACAAATTTCATCCAGTCTAAGATGACACTGAACATAAAATGCAGCACTATTTTGTGTTACTGCTAAGAAAGAAAAACTGCCCAAGATGGGTAATCTAATAGATGATCCCAGAATCAAACTGGAACACAAAGTGATTCAGTGGTAATCTAAAGAAGAAATAAACTCCTGTGCAGATGAAGACAGCAAGGAAAATTTTCTGTTTCAACTATAATCATGGGAGATAAAAAAGGGAGAAAAACATTCCTCGAGCCATAAGGTGGTACTTATTGAGGTTTACTTTCTGTATTCACACTAACAGGGTGGACCCAAAAACCTCAGACAGGGTCTTTAATTTAAAGAGGTATCAGGTGAATAGGGCCCCACATGTCTGGCAGAATTCTTTTTGGAAGAAAGCAACTTCAACTCTGATCAACTCAGACACATTCTGATATCAGAGATGTTAAAATGTAAGGAAGCATGCATAGTAGAATCAAATCATTACAGTATCATCTTCTATGATTTTTATAAACTCTTTTTGAAAGTATTTTCAGTGTAGATAATCAAAAATCACAGTAGATGTCTTCTGATGTTACTTTAGGCAAGCACTCCGATCATTCATATTATATGCGTGTGAGGCACAGGCACACACATGAATACGAAGAGGTTTGAAATATTTTGTGCTCTCTTAGCTCCTTATTACATTGAAGTATGTTATGAGAGATCACCTGTTCATATGCCTACAATTTAACTGTTGTAAACATAGATGTTTTAAGCATGCTGTATATTTTTAAATTCCAAAAGTTATAAGGATCATGTATCATTAAAAAAAAAAAGACAGTATTTTCATTTTTGCTTATGAAAACCTTCTGCTTCAGCGAGTGGGTGTTTTCCATCTCCCATCATATCTCTTGGGGAAAATAAATGAGACATTAAAGTCCACGTTTCCTGATTTCTTTAAAGTAAGTGTTCCTATGGTAATCTTGCTCTGGCATAAAGATTATTTGTGATCTTTTTGGTAATTCATTTGCTGTAAAATTATGAAAATAAAACATAACAGATGTCTAATATAAACTAAATGAATATTACAGTAGATATTTTCATATTGATACTGGTTTTTAAGTAACTGAGTTGCAGCTTGCCTTATACAAAGAAGCATTGCAACCACTGATACCACAGGTATCAAGTACAGTGTTAAATATAACTATTCAAA